AGATCCTTGGACCACATGGCAGCACCCACTTTGCATGGAGCTGTAGAACAATGTGAAATGAAGTAAATAGTGCCTTTGTACCTTGCAATTCCTCAGTGGAAACTTAAATCTTTGCCTTTTCCAGATTCTTCTTCATCCCATGATTTCTGTAACTCCTAGGTACCACTGACCACTACAGCTCCATCCCTGCCAGGCCCAAGTACACCTCTCTGGAAAGACACAGACCACATATAATTTTTATCCTGATCTTATCAATACATGATTTACACAGGAAATTACAAATTCAAAAACATCAACAAGAACATGACAATAAATATAATTTCTTCTTTAGAAAAAGTCATATTAACACAAATAAATTTACATGAAATTTCAACATTGCATGTCAAGAAGAAATGGTCCTTGAAGGACTGCACTCATCATCATTCTTTGATCTAGGTGTGAGCGAAAATAACAGACATTATTTTATTCAGCACAGAAACTTAATTTCAAATGCATGCACTTTCAACACCCAGCTTTGAGTTTACTTATTTGTCCTTATGTCAGAGCATTGAAATAAGGTGACGGGAACCAATATCTCCCTCCACTTCTCTGTCTGGTTTTGACTTGCATTGTATCCGTAGGACCAGAAGCAAAAGTTGAAATTTGAATCATGCTTGCACTTCTGCTGTTCAACTCACAAGCTTAGGCTTTGCTGTTTATCTGGTTCAGAATCCACCAAAATGGCACATTTTTAAACCAGAAACCAAACTGACTCATAGATTTGCTTTTTGAGTGTAGCTCAAATGTGCCCAAACAACATATGTTGGATTTCACACACAATTCTTTTTAAATTACCTTTTTTTTTATTATTATTATTTTTTCAATCCGAAGGTAACGCTCTCATTGCTTGGACTGCTGTGAGCACAAAATAATCACAGATGGAAATGCAACCTGAGTAGACTGACTGTGTAAGCTCTTTATGACATGATGTACCTGACTAATATCTACAGCACATTTTTCTACCCCTCTCCCCCCAAAAAGGATGGGTTTATGCTTTGATTGGAATTTTATTCAACTTTTGATGCAGGTAACTGGTTTAATAATCTCCCACAAAATTGCAGACACTGCAAGCACACTGTACCGTATTGTTAACTAATATGCTTATTTTGACAGGAGAGAAAGCCAAAATAAAATGAAGTCTTCCTGTTCTTTTGTATGTCTGGATTATTTAATGTCAGGTCAAATCTAAAAAGGATAAATTTTCTCAAACTTGAAGGAATAGCATTAGGGCTGTCCAGTTCTCTGTGTTCTGAAGCATTTGGCATTTGTGAGATAAAATGATTGTGACACCCTCAGCACCTTTTTGGCAGGTGATGACAGTTCCACAGTAACTGAAAACTTAGAAAACTGAAAACTTAGAAAGAAATCCAAAACTTATGTAACTATAATCATGCGAGTTAGACTGTTTCTTCCCTTGGTTGCTGTATGACCGATACCATTTGTAGAAGCTGTATACTTTTTGTTTTGAAAGTAGACAAAACAGTTCAGGCTCTCTGTCACCATTACAGACAGATAGATGGGATTATATGATAGGAAAAGTGGTATTTCACATCCAGAGCTTAAAATTAATTCTATCCAGTCTTGTGTTGTTTAATTGAATCTTGAGACAAAAATCTTTTTTAAGGCATTTTGCTTTTCATGTGCTGTAAAGCAACACTTTCCATATCCTTATTTTATTGTTACGGCTGCACACTGGAAACAGACACTAAAAAAGTTCATGCCACAGCTTATGTGCCATCAAAAAAAGCATCAGTAAAGTTTTTATTCAAACAGAGTGATACAAATTATCAGATAGTCTCTCTCTATTCTAGAAAACTCTTTCCTGGGTGATTTTTATGTCCTTTACTGCTCTCTTTCTCCTACCTGTTTTGGAATGATAAACAAAAAAGGCAGAGCAGGTTATTCTGATTACTTTTCATATTCTCAGGCAAACAAGAGCCACACACAGTCCCAGCTGCCTTAAACACAACCTACCTGCAGCTCTAGCTGTTGTGTACCCATTGAACACTGGATCCCCCAAAAGCAGGCATAGGAGATGCCTCACAGAAAAGGCACACAAGCTTCACTGCCATCTGTGATCCATTCCCCTCCTGCTCTCACAACATTCATGGTCATTGAGTTAGCATCGCTGCTGTACAGCACATTCCCTTTAGTATGTGTTTATGGACTGGTTATCCCTGGTCCCTGGATGTCCCCATGGTTTTCCAAATAAAGCACTTCCCCTCCATCATGCTGAAGCATGGTATCAGTTGTTCTCACATGCCTGTCCCCAGCCCCCTGAGAAGGACTGCCTTGACCTGTGACTTTACTCTGTGTGCCCACTAACGTGGTCTTCCCTTACACAGTGGCTGAAGAGGAGAGACTTCAAAAAGACTGATCACATCTTCTAGCTTCCTGATTCTCTCTGTTTTACAAAAGACCTTGCACAAACAGGAACAACCTTGTGCTTTCAGGTTCCCAGGCCTTTTACCACTCAAAAGGAAAAGCCCCACATCAGTGCTTGGTGGATGTGAATTAAAATATGTCAGTTAAGCAGCCTCTTCGTGCCTGTCTCTTAGCTCACCATCATTGCCCTGCCCTGAAGTCTATACATTTCAAATTAATCTCAAAGTCTCACTAGTAGGATCTGAGATTAATTTCTATTTCAGTTAAGTATATAACCAGTGTGAAAACACAACAGCATGGGGCTGCTGCAACTCAAATGTTTTGTCTCACCTAAACACAAAAAAGGCATTAAACATCTACTTTTACCAAAGCAGACAGACAGAATATTTGTAAGTCAAATGCTTAAAGAAAAGCAGAAGCTGACCAAATAGGTCAATGAACTGTACAAATACATAATAATGCAATCTGCTTATGAATAATTATATACATTTCAATATTTCAATTAAAGTTTTAATTTTCTCTGGTGATAACCAATGTATTGGAATAAAAAAAAATACCTAGACATGTCTATTTTTCAAATGAGAAACTAAAATTGGTCTAGACATAGGCTACTGAAGGGCAGAACACCCAGATGACCTTGGAAGGTCTGAATCCTCCCGTTTTTTTGTGCTTCATCCTTTGGCATCACAAAGGACAATCATAGTTCTCTTACTCAAAGCATCTCCTTTTCTCTGACTTTCAGGAATTCAGGAACTCATATCTATTCAGGACACTGTTTTCTACACTTCCCCTACCCTTTTTTTGTTTCATTTCATTTAGTTTTGATTTGTTTTTCTGCATCCAAATAAAATACTCTTTACAAGCTCTTCATGGTGTATTGGTGTCACTTCACTCTTCTTCATTAAGCTCTGAGCTCAACTGGCTTACAGACCTAACCCACATCACTCATTTACTGAATTTTTAAGTAAAATATTCTTTGTTTGGTATTGGAGGATGCATCAATACACATTTGAATAGATGTGCCAATTTTTTTCAGAATATTTATCCCCCTATCTTCTTTTACACAAGGTCCTCAGAAACAAAAATAAGGGCATTTTAAAGGCTGCTTGTCATGTCTGTTCCTTCTGATTCTGTTCTTGGCACATAAATGGTCTTTTAGTAATTTACACAAACATATAAAACCCAACCTGTAAACAGAATCCCAAGTTAACTCTCAATCTGAATGGTCAGAAGCTCAAGTCTGAAAAAACAAACAATTACCTTCTTCAGTGAAAAGCAGTATCATGTAAAGGTTATGACTTGAAAGTATATTTTCTAAAAGAGTATTATGAATAATTTCTTGCTTTACTAATTTCTCCAGTTAAAAGTGTAGATGTGATTGTAAGCACCACACTTTAAAGCACAGCTCAAAAAGTCATTTTTCATTAATGTTCTACAGCATATCAGAAGGCAGATATGAATATCCGTCTCCATTTTCACAGACAAAGAAATCAGAGCTGAGGAGAATCGTTTCCCCTCCAGTCACATGGCAGAGCTATGTGAGGGTCAGGAACAGATGCTCTGTCCCCTGAATAGATGTCTTGTCCTCTGCCTGCTGTGTCATGCAGCTTGTCTGAGATATATTTGTATCACTGCTGTAGAGCATGTGTGCTAGATAGGATGAACACCTTTTAGCTTCAAATATTAAATATTGTATTTTGCCATAAATGTCAGATAAAAAGGTCTTTCCAGACCAAAGGTATTACTGAAGAAATAGAAAAGAAAAATACTTGCTCTTTGAATAGTGGAGACTTGATTTGAATCTGTTATGTTTTTTTTTTTTCTAAGAGGAGAGCCCATATTTACATGGACACAATCGTTATTTATTTGGTCTGCAAGGCTGAGGTCAAAAGCACTCAGCAATATAATCTGAAATAACTGAGTGAAACTTTTGAGAACTTTCAAGTAACCCTTTTTAAACACTAGTGGCTTACTTTCATGCTGAGGCTTTCTGAAGTATTTACCTGGTAGTTTCATAGTACAGTTTGGACCAGGTATCTATTTTTGTTTCCTTCAAGAAACACCAAACAATGAACGCCTTCACCATACCACAGTCCATAGAGGACAAAACTGTGATACAGATAATGTCATTGAGGAGCTTCTTTATTTTGATTCAATGTCTCATATCCCTAAGATATATGCCATGCCCTGAACACCTGGTTTTAGAATTAGGTAAACAAAACCTAAAGACACTTTTCTTGGCTATGAAACAATCAGTCAGAAAAAAACTTTGAGGTCTGAGTAGATGAAGTGCTTGAACTGGCAACTTGTGTTGTTACTTCTGGAACAAACCTGGGCAGCAGGGAAGACTGGCTGTGATTAAAGGCATTACGTACTCCGACAAATAGGGCTGCATATATCATTACTAGCAGTTGCCATTGAGAGGGTGTCTATCGTGGAGAAGGCAGGGTAGATTTCTGTGGAGCCAGGAGAGTTTAGCATTTGGCAAAAAGTAAGGGCCTAGTCTTTCAAAGGGAGTGAGGTAGAGGATTTTTAATTTTGAACACATTTCTGAGTTTAAAATATATTACCTAATTTTAATTTTTTTAACAGCACAGTTCCAGCTTCAGTGATCATCAAGCTGAAGGTCTCAGGACTCAGGTTTTCCAGCTAAATATTGCAACTGTATGTTGCAGAAAGCACAACACTTTTCACTGTGAAACCAGAAATGAAAATTATTATTAAAGGTAAACAGAATGGCACCGTGATAAAAAAGGCATGTGCTCTTCCACTGCCACCTACAAAACTGGAGAGATACTATTCCAAATCTCATTCTTTTCCTTTTGTCAGCAGACCTCCTAGTTTCTTTAGTTGGCCAAAACTGTCAGGCAGAGGCAAAGTCCCAAGCTCTGATCTCTTTCTAGCCTTAAGGCCCTGCACCCACCAAGTTCATATTGAGAAGTATGCAATAATCCCAGCATGGTAAAAGCTCTAGGAACTTCTGCTAACACAAGCCCCTAAACCCTTTTTCATAGAATCTGTGCTGCCTGTGTGTGTGAACATGTCTAAAACACCATGGGCCCTCAAAAAAAATTTGTTAGCATAAAAAAATAATATTATTATAATAAATCACTGGCTTCAGAAAGGTTTAGCTTATACAGTGTGGCAGATTTTTCTCTCTTTTAATATGTTAACTAGATTAGCCTTGGTTTCTAGCAAAGCATATCAATACAAAAACTTCAACAAACCTTGGAAATGAACTTGCTCAGTGTTTCATGTAGACAAAAAGCCATCAACAGCAGTAGTCTGAAGCTCGATTTCTACTATTCTATTATTTTCTTATCCATGAAGTTCAAACAGATAGCTAAAGACAAGTATTGGACCTGTGCCAGGGAAACAAAACAGTCCAACAGAGAATGAAGAAATACTGTGATACTAGACAGAGTTTACATCACTCAGTGTTGCTCCCTTTATGTGCTTCCCTTGGCCTAATTTAACCCTAATATTATGTTATTTTCCACGGTAATACTTTAACATTTCCCTTCAGCTTCCCTATGAAATGCTTGAACTCTTTAATAAATACTCAGTGAGAACTCACATTAAAAAGCAAATAACAGTGAAGTCAAACTAAAAGCTTATTTATCCAGTCAAGTTTTAGGCTATGAATAAAGCATATAATATGGCATAGAAAGTTTGGTATCTTAAGCATTAGCTTGTCTTGGAACATTGTCTTGAGTCCCTGTTTGAACTTAATATTCATTTCTAAAGATTTTTTTGCTACAGTTGGAGTAAGCGATAACTCTTCATCACTTACAAAAGAAAAGCAAAACCCAGCTCTGGAGACTCTGAGATGAATATAACACATTGACTTAAGACATGAATTCTATCCAGCTAGACTGCTTCTTATCCATTTTGGTAATAGTGGCCAATTAATATAAGCTTGGACAGCACTGATTTTGTTACAGTTTGCCATCATTCTTGCTACAAAAATCACTCTAGCAAAGACAGAACCTTGCTATGTATTTGTACCAGACTGTGTTATGCTTATTTGTATTTGTACACACAAGCAGTGCCTGGGAGAGGAAATAATCCCACAGTCAACCTACACACACCCGTTCATCACAATTTCCTCAATGGATGCTGGTTAAATCTAGGTAGTTCCCATTAAATATTCCAATAAATGCTACAAAACATCCGGGGAAGAAAAGCTCTGACTACAAATACCAAAGTCAGATATAAGTGAAGCAGATTAAGTCCACAGTGTGCTAAGGAGGACTGGTATGTTAACAGTTAAGAGGACAAGTTTTCCCATCTTCTGCTACCTTGAGCTTCACATAGAAGCCCTCCTTGTGAGTTAATTCAGCTGGCAGAAAAGCATTTCTGGGAAGTCACAGAATTATGTGAATTTCCAAGTAAGAACTTTTTATTTTCTCTGAGTTGTACATGAAAATTTGCAGTGCTGCATGAATTTGATGAAGTATTCTTGAATTTATTAGTAGACAAAAGAGTTTGAAATCACAATAGCTTGTGCTTATACACAATAAAAACCCTAGATGAGTTAATGAGATCTATAGTGAATGCTCTCAAGTTCAGCTTTTTACTTGTTACTCTACAATTGGAAGCAATGTTTGGATTCACAGTGCCAAAAAGATTCAAATATTTTGAATTACAATTAAAACATCTAAAAGCCTTTATTTGATTTTTTTTCATTTGCATTTAACCATGAGACAAGTCTGTCATGATAATTACACCCTTAATGCATGCCAAGATGGTATTTTCCTACCCAAAATGGCATCAGATTAAGTTCATATACACAGAAGGTGGATTTTGGACACACTCCTATTGGACAGTCATAACATCTGCACTATTTTTTCAGGTAAATACCAAGGCTGTGTATCCATGTAACAACTTGGATGGTCTTCCCAAAAGGAAGGGCACCTCCCATTGCAAGACCAGGACATAGTCACTAGCTGTTGCTCAGACAACTGTCCCAATAAAAACTGGGATAATGTATGCCTTTAATCAGTTTATAAATCATTTATAGGCATGACCAGGTTAACTGTTAACCAGCCTGCCACTTGAATTCCATGTAATATGAATGGGTGGGGTTGTCCTTTTCTTTTTTGTTTTATTAATCTTTAGCCTTTTTTTTTTTTCTTTATGAAATGATGCCAAGAATCTGTTTGTTTAGCTGCTTGCATGATTTTTTAAAATTCCACTCAGCAAGCATTGCACATGGAAAAAGTGTAACATTGAAGATGAATGTAAAAACTCCATCTCATCTGTTTTGCTGCTGTGTTGCCATGTCCTGAACTTTCTGTTTAACTTGAAAATAAAGCATCTTTATCCGCTAACATAGCTCCATTCCTCCCACTCTCCCAGGGGCTTATTCTTCAGCTTCCACTTTCAATGTCCAGAGTAAAAGAGAAATAATGGAATCTCTCCTCCCCATTACAAAAGGCTTCCTCTCTTAGGTGTCTGTTCCCCTTTACATCAATATTCCAGATGGATAAAAAGTGGAATTTATTCAATATAGTCCATCAAAATACCAAGCTGCTCAACAGAAGAAAGCATCTACTGGGTCCATCCAAGATGATCCAAATATTTCTTCACCCCTTGTTCACTATCAAAATAAAGAATTAAGTAACAGCTATATTCTTATAAGTTATTACATTAGTTTTCTTTCAATGGGGTCTGTTTGAGACATTCTAACTTGGCAGTTTCATCTGGAATCTTTCAACAACATCAAAACTCACTTCTAAGAGACAGGGGGAGGGGACAGGGAACAAAACATGCAGAGCTATTATTCCATCGAATTTCAAGGACCAGCTGTGACAGGAAAGGAAAGGGTGGGGACAGGATCAGTAAACAGTCCTTCATTTCTCCTGCAAAGCAAAACACAATTAAAAGCAGAAAATAGAGCTGGTGAGAAACAGGGAGGGGAGCCAAAACACAAACTGGAGAGGATACCACTAATAACTTTTTTAAAGTATTACTTAGGAAAAACTACAACAAAGACCTGAAATAAAGTTTAGGTGGAATTGGGAAAGAGAAATGGTAACAATAAATAGACTTCACAAGATGAATAAAAGCTGGTAAAACAGGTGCTTTACATCCCTTGAAGAAATGGTCTCTACAGGGACTATTTTTGTGAGGAGCTGTGGTCCCTACCCAGGATGTCTCCTCTGGTTGATTTGCCCTGGCCAGAGAAGAGGGCAGAAGTGCATGTGGACCTGGCTGCTCTATCTCCTTCACCACAGATGTGGGGCTCAGTGTTCCCCAGAAGGAAGGATTCCGATGCGTTAGGTCTCTGTGTCCAGGGCGAGGGTGGCCTGAACTGGTGTTGTGCAATACAGAGCTATGGAGTAGAAATATGAGAGCACTGAGCAATGAAAGAGCTCATCAGTGATCTATGTGGCCTGAAGACAAGCATCCTCACAGCCTTGGCAATAAGCAGCCCATGAGAGGACCAAGAGGACCTTGTTAGCCCAAGGGACACTCATGCCTTTGCCTGGCTGGAGGTACCTGACACAAGAAAGCAGCTCTTTCAGTAGAGGTAAAAGAAGACTTCAGCAAGTGCTTACTTCTTTTCTCAAATAAGTCTTCTAGACTTACTTAACACACAGGAAAAATGTCTGTGATCACCACGGATGAGGCAAACTCTGCTGCATCCTGTCCTGCAGAGCTACTTCAGCAAGAGAAGTGGTCACCGTGTTGTGCTTCCTTTCCCTAGCAAGGCTACTCAGGAACAGAGATGTGAACTGGCATCCAGGCATTATGCATCAAGGAAAGACAGATTAAAATAGAGAGGTTCAACACAAAGAATCATCTGTGTTGGCAATGCCCCAAGTTATGGTATCTTGTTAAGAAAAAAACAAAAAACAAACACTTAGGAGAGAAAAAAAAATAGCTTAGCAAAGGAAACAATACAACTGGGCATAACATAGAAAATGCAAGGCAGATTTGTATTCCCTGTACTTTCTGTTTTAGTGTCACAAACATTTACATCCTTGTTGGATTCCAAGTTAATTTTCTAAAGCATCTGCCCAGAGTGGTGATGAAGTCATTCTCTTGATCTCTTTCACTTGGCTAGTGGCTTTTGTTTCTAGAAGAGGAGCTGCACACAGTTTGGCCTGGGGGACTGTACGCATCAGTGGGAAAAAGACCTCCTTACACAAAACAGTGGCTACTTTGAAGTGGTTCTTCTTCATTCCTTATACTGGAACTCTGTCCGGAAAGGAATCTGGTGGGTGAAAACCAGCTGACCAACCATGCTTCAAGTGCATGGAAGTACACTGCAAATTCCTGTGAGCCTGACATATAACCTGGAGAAAGAGCTCATCTCTCCCTGAATCTTCTCTCTCCAAAACCTTTTTGCCAGTACTCAGCAAGGCTGTTCACAAAAAAACGGAAGAATTCAAAACTGTGGTTGCGTGAATAAGGTGAAATGCAAGCAATTGGCACTGAGCAACCAGCATAGAGATAAACACCAGCTTGCCACTTTCACTTCCCTAGAAGGGAATTAGAAGCCGACACATTTGACAGAAAACTTACTAATCATATCCTTCATAACTCAGTTTAAAGCTCAGTGCCAAGTGCTACAGCTCTGAAAAAGAGAAGCCACAGGGATCTGTGATCTGCTCTCACTGCCTGCATGCTGGAAGCCCATCCCTGTCACCTTGCTGTCCCCCAGCCTAGTTACTTGTGCTTTGTTTAAACACCTCTTACAGGACAGCAAGTGGTCTTCCATCTGTTGACAAGATGAGATGGAAAGCCTATCACTTCTCTTGTACCTGATCTCAATTGTTTCTACCACATTTCAAAAGACACGTGCCTCATTTCCTGTTTGAATTTGTATAGAATCTGCCTTGAATCTGCCTGTGACTTGAAAACATTCTCACTTTTTCTTCTAAAGAGCCTTTAAATATCTGCTGTTTTCTGAACATGCCTATGCCTAGTCAAGTCACTTCTAAAACTTACTGTATTTTTTTCCAATTTTGCTTCCATTTTTTACACTCTTCTTCCAAATCCAGTACCAAATCTAGAGGCAGAATTCCAGCCTCTTCTGACTGATGCAAAGCACAAAAGTAAGAGCATTTCCTCACTCCATACTGTTCTGTTTTTTTGGGTGGTCAAGTCATATAATTTTATGAATTGTCTTTTCGTACCTCTGAATTTATTACTGGCTGTCAAACCAGTTCCCTATTTCTCTATAGATTAAATAACTTGGTCTTAGATATAGCATTTTTCAAATAATACTTTGTGCAAATTGAGGTTAATACATTTTCCAGATTATTTTACCTGAAGCCATATAAACTTATCACTCTGTCAGTCCTTATTATGCTAACCATAACCAAATGAACGGATCATGACAAATATGTTTTGTCCTTTAACAGAGAGAACTGCATAAGCCCTTCATTGTATATATTGAAAAGGAAAGAAATACAGTTGAAAGAACAGCACTTGGACATTAGTGAGGAAGTGACTAGCTAATCTTTTCTTTCATACAAAACCCAGATAACCTTAAATGCTGAGAATCATGAGACTAGGGAATGAGAGGCTGCAGAGAAGCACTGTGGAAATGGATCTGGGGTTCCTGGTCGATGGCACATTGAATATGAGCCAGCAGTGCCCTGGAGCCAGGAGGGCCAACCCTGTCCTGGGGGCATCAGGCCCAGCAAGGCCAGCCGGGCAAGGGAGGGGATTGTCCTGCTCTGCTCCGCTCTGGGGCAGCCTCACCTCCAGTGCTGGGGGCAGTTTTGGGTGCCACAGTGTGAGAAAGACATGAAACCATTAGAGAGTGTCCAAAGGAGGGCACAAAGATGGTGAAGGGCCTTGAGGGGAAGCTGCATGAGGAGCAGCTGAGGGCACCAGGTCTGTTCAGCCTGGAGGAGGCTGAGGGGAGACCTCACTGCAGTTACAGCTTCCTCATGAGGGGAAGAGGAGGGGCAGGCACTGAGCTCTTCTCTCTGGTGACAGTGACAGGACCTGAGGAACTGGTCTGATGCTCTGATGCCCGCTAGTCAGAGCGGGGTTAGAAGAAAGTTCTTCACCCAGAGGATGGCTGGGCACTGGAACAGGTTCCCCAGGGAAGTGATCACAGCACTAAGCCTGACAGAGATCAAGAGTTTGGACAATACCCTCAGGCACATGGTGGGATTGTTGAAGTGTCCTGTGTAGGGCCAGGAGGTGAACTTGATGACCCTGATGGATTCTTTCAACTAAGCATATTCTCTGTTTCTATGGTTCTATGAGAAATGCCAGAAAGCTTTGTAACAATTTCTGAAATCTCCATGAATATTAAAGGATTTAGAAATTGTTAACAAGATTACTCACTTATATTCTTTTCAAATTAAATGTATTTATCAGTTTTGTTATGAATCCTCACATTCCTTTCAGGGAAAAAAATAAAAATCTGGATAAATAACCTATCAACAGAAAGAATTCTATTATTTTTTCTGAGAACGTCATATGAAGTTGAACTACAGAATCTTCCTTTACAGCCATAGATCAATGTTAAGGCACTGCTATTACTTTTCTGACCTAATTGTCAGTTTTAACTGACCTTAGGTAAACACTGACCTCAGTTAAAACTCTTGAATAAAGTACTCTTTTAGTTATATGGGTTGTTGGAACCTGAACTCAGCTCTGGACTGGAGTCTAGAGACTTGTAAACAAGTGTGAGACAAAGCCATAAATTTAAATTTAGGAAATCAACTGGACAGAAGCACGTGAAATGCAGAGCTAAGCACACTTCATGTGTGTCTTCTGAAACTTTAACTGTCCTAACGCTGTGAATTTTGCAAATGCTTCTTCCACATTACGTCTCACAGACAGCTAAGTAACATTAAACTGTAATTGAAAACGAATTTGGTTTGTTTAGTCTACAGAAGAGAAGACCTGATAACAGTCTATAAGTACAGAAAGAGCTGCTGCAAAGAGCAAAGGAATAATCTCTTCTTCATGTCCTTGGAAAGAGGACAAGAAGAAATACACTCGAATTACAGCTACAGAAATTCAGGTTGGATATCAGAAAAACCCCTTTATCTGCAAGAATCACTAGGCGTGGGAACAGATTGCCTTGGGTGATTGTGAAATCTCTGTCACTGTGAGCTTCTAAGGAGGAATTAGACAAATGTTTGCCGAGGTGGCAAAGGCAGATTTGAATTCTAGAAGCTGAATATAGACTACATAACCTCCACAAACCTCTGCCAACTCTTTTCTATGTTTTTTTCCTTTACTCTTCTCACTTATATAAGTGAATTCTGCATATTTATAGAAACTCACCAGTTCCATAAATTTGAAATATATATTTATTCACAAATTTTCATAAAGAGAGAGGAGTAAAAGAAAAAAAGCTTGTAGCAGCATGTAAAGAACCAGAAATATCTTACAAAGGCATGAAATTACTGGTTCATAGCACCTCCACAGAAACTCATAATATAGCATTGCAATAAATATTCTTCATGAAACCTTTTCACAACTCAAAGCAGCAAAAGGCATAAAAATCTTTCATATGGCTTCATATCATAAATATATTAAATACAACTCTCCCCTGATAAAGCATACTTCCTGTAATCCACACTTTTTCTAGACAAAACTCAAAAGTTCATAACGAGGAAAGAAACAAGTATCCAGATCAGGTGCCTAACTTACAAATAACCTCCTCTCCCCCTCAAGTAAAAGGATAAGTACCTATAAGGCCAAACCTAGTGGGTTCACACAAAAGGTAACTTTTTTGAAAACCACATTCCTGATTTTGCCATTCAGACTAAGACATTATTGAGAGAACAACTAATGTAAAGTTTTCTGATGCAAAATTTCAGCAAGAAGATAATCAAACCAATCCTTTACTTGCTCGTTTTGAAGTAGCTTTTAAGTAAACAATGAAACCATTTTTCTTTTTCCTCAAATAGCCCCCAGACAGTATTACTGCCACATTTGATTCAGCAGCATCATAATATCAAGGATTTTCTTTCACAGAAACAACATTTTATACTTAGCCGTGGCAACCAAACAATTTTATTCACTTTTCTGTTTGTTTCCAAAGCCTTTGCATCCAAACACAATATTTATAAAGTCTATCCTTAAACCAAGGGCAATGCATGCGTATGCAACCTAATACCTTTTATCTGAGGATCTGAATCAACTTTCTTTGATTCCAAGCTTGCTCTTGGCATAAATGAAGGCAAGTGTGGTCCCAAATTGGTCATTCACAGCACCAGTCAATGGCAGTTTAAAAAGAACAAGGGCTGCATTATAAGGGTAAACATTTGGTATGATTCAAATCTTATGCAATATAGAAATGAGCTTCAGGCAAGATTGCTTTTGATGCCTTAGCTAGTCATCCCCATAGTGTGACTTGTCATAAATCTTCTTGCAGAATACTACAAAGGGGAAGCAAAGAGAACACTGAGCTAATGGCTACACACCACAGTGCTCACACCATGTGAAAATAAAATGTAGGAAAATTTAATAAGCCATATATTAAATTATACACCTGCTACATTAAGGCTTTTCATATTATCCTCAAGCTCTTGACATTAGAGCTCTCTCTTTAACAAAGAAACAACAACGAAAAAAATCTGCTTAAGAGGAATTTGGTTTAGTTTCCAAAATCAAAATAAACTCTATCTTTAGGAAACATATTTAGTTAAGCCCTCTGTTCCAGCATTCCTAGAAATCTACTCAGTTTCCTTCCTCAGTGCTCTGAATGCAGCTGCATATGCAAGTTTCATTACTTCTCATTTCACTGGAGCTGTAGACCAAAATGACAGTATGCATCTTTTTAAGATTTCATTAGCATTAAGATGCTTATATACTTTTCTTTGTAATTCTTTGGTACTGTTATAACCCTCATCTTTTCTCACACTTCTACATTTTTTTAAAAAACTTTGACCCTTACCTTCTAAATTAAAAATATTTCTCTATTTACATATGCAGGGGTGTCACTTAGTTTCAATGTCTGAGAGTAAGTGATTACCAAAAGGACTGCAGTGAAAATCAATTCAGCTTGTGGGAAAATACAAAAAGTTTTGCTCATCTTCTTTGTAAGCCAATATATTCCCTAAGTGTCTTGTTGGTTGGGTAGGAGTCCTTTATGCATTTGGCTGCATTTTCTAACCTTTAGGGCTTTGATACTGTTGTCTGTACTTTTGCCAATGTTTTAAAACAATAAAAACCACTAGAACATCCAAAAACTAAATACAAAACACGTTAATGAAATTTGCAAACTATGTCTGGGCTGTACTTTGTGCCATAAGATTATAGTAACTATGCAAGCTTTATTATATAATCTAAAACATACAACTCTGACATTAAATAAGGAAAAAAATGTTTACAATGTTTTCAATGAAGTGTGGATGGACTTGCATTCCCTGAGCATAATTACACAAATAGGCCAGCCTTAGTGTGGTTGCAGAGGCACAGTCCTGGCTGATGTCAGCTGGAAATGTATTAGAATAATCACTAGAAACTGTACTGGATGCAATTTTATTGCCAGGAAGAATATTGTCAAGAAAATAAACTCTGTGCTCAAAGAATATATTTCATATTGGAATTCATATAAAACCTGCATAAGAACATCTACAGAAATTCAGAGAATAACATATCTGGAACTGAATATCCCACCTGTAAGCAAAAAGGGCACATCTGTATTTGGAAGAGAGATAACACAACAAAAAGAAATTGAAAATGATGTTGATATGGTCAATTCTTACCTGCTTGCTTCTGTATGCCAGGTGAGCTACCAGTAATCCCTGACAGGATTCAAGTGGACTTCTATGCTTGACTCAAACTCCTGACATAGAATTCTAATGCTTCTTGAGGACGTTACTCTTCTTCAACCCTCTTGTAAAATGAGAGCATCAGCTACTGAGCAGCTGCCATGTTTCAGCCTCCCAACACTGGCTCCTTCCCTGATGAATAAAGCAATCCCTAAATATTAATTAAAGTATTAATAACTTTCCATCCCTTTGCATGGCAGGTACATACATATGCACATAGATATGGAGTTTGTATCTCTTGGGGAAGAGATTTTGAAATTTAATTGCAAGATATTATTTTACTGCTATAAACACACACCAGTTTTCCCAAAACTTGCCTTGGAACTGTGGCACATTGTTTTCAGGAAAAAAAAAATAAATGTTTACTGAGCTTATCTTACATTTCTAAAAAGCAGTTACATGTGATCCTTAGCTGGATAGTGATGAGGAGTGTGTTCTGGTTGATTTATAAACTAAGCTGGATTATTGAAAATACACTATTATATGCCTCTTTCCCACCAAATTAGTGAAATAATCCATGGGGTAACTTTTAACTTAAAAGTAGAAAACTACTTTTCTCTGATTGATTCTACAAAGCAGTGTCATTAGATATTTCTGATTATTCTTTTTCATTCTCCTGTTACTTTTCACTGGCTGTGGCCTTGAAGAGATCTCCTTTCTCTCTATACCAAGCCAGTGGTCTTACCAAAAGATGAAGATACTTTTCTCTTTACAAGGTGATCACACATGTGGTCTCACAACTTTCTCTTCCATGTCAATGGCTAAGAAATCCTGGTATTTACAGGCCCCACAGGACAATCAGCTCTGAACTCACCATTCTTCCCAGCATTTAATGGCTGCAGCTATAAAGTAAAAGCATCCCCTCCTATGGGGATTCCTTTGTGTCAAGGATATACTACTCATCATCATATTTCAGTTTACAATGCCTAGAATAATGAGAGGGTTGTGCTGAATGCAATCTGGCACAGCTGTGTTTTTCATAGCATGACACCAAGGATATGTGCTGCGTTACCACATGGGATAATGTGGGAGGAATGTCCTAGATGGAAAGACTGAATCTTGACATGGGCTGAATCCAGGAACAGACCCTGGAACAAATTATCATGTCAAATTGCTTTTAGGTCTTCTTTTTAAAAGGAAATTGCTGGCTCAGTCCAGCACATAGCAAGAAACAGCTAATTGCTAATGTAGGTACACAACACATGCACCCAGACTCATCTTCGGTAGAACCAAAATTTTTGCCACATTTGAGCATCATCTAGAGAATAAAAACTCATTTTTCTTCACATTCTCTGGCTTTGAAATGCTTCTGAGATTTTGTCTGTTTGATATTGCAATCAGAGTAGCTCGACAGAGGAGCATAAACTGTGTTTTGCTATAAAAACAATGAGGCCTACAGTAATTTTTTCTGTTTACAGAGGAACATCCAGAAGCACAGACCAACTGAGGAGGAATCCCTACCCTTCACAACAAGAGAAATTGCGGCTGGACTTCACAGTCTTCAGGTAAAATACTATCCCGTGTGGAAGAACAGCTAATGGCATGTGTCACTTGGGCTTTGATGGTACCAAAAGTTTTGGTCCAGAGCTGTCTTCGACAGGGACCCATCTCCAGATAGTAGTGTGTTATGGGTCCCATTTTCTCAGAAGCCTTTCTCCTTCAGCTGCTGAATTACAAACCAGCTGAGGATTTTTTAGCTTAGTCATCTCATTCCTTCAGATAATAATCAAACCCAGAGGTCACAAATGCACGGGAGGGTCTCTCCTCTTGGCACGCAAGACTGGCCAGTGACTGCTGACAGAGCTGTAAGTGCTGTGTTATGTACTGTGGGCAAGAAAAACAAAGAAAATCCAAATAGGTCAGCAGCACAGGCAGGAAAGCCTGAACTTCACACTAGAGTAACCATTTTCCCCAGGGGAGGGCCACAAAGATGATCAGAGGGTTTTCTCTCACAGGAGAGCTGCAGCTGTTCAGTCTAGAGGAGCGAAAGCTCTGGTAAGACCCAGTAGAAGAGTAGAAGCCTATGGGTACCTGAAGGGACCCTACAGAAACCTAGAGGCACTTTTTTACAATGACATGCAGTGATAGGACAAGGGGGAATGACAGACAGTAGGTTAAAATTAGAAATTAGAAAAAAGAACGAAATTCTTTACTCTGAGAGTGGTTGGACACTGGCACAGGTTGTCCAGAGAAGTTGTGGATTCTCCTTCCCTGGAAGCATTCAAGGACAGGCTGGATGAAGTTTTGAGCAACCTGATCTAGTGGAAGGTGTCATGCCCATGGCAGGGGATTTGAACTAAATTTGATGATTTTTAAGGTCCCTTCAACCCAAACCATTCTATTATTCTGCTGTTAAATTATTCTCTCCTTACCTTCCTTCACAGCACTTTGGGGCTCCGGAAGGATTAAGCAGGTATTTGCCAATGGCCAGTTTTCAAATGTCTGCATTTAGTCACATTTCTTCTTTATCCTATACTTCTCAGTTCAAGTTTTTCAGCCTTTGACTTTGAGGTGTGAAGACTGGCTGGAGAGGACTCACTGTCCATGTTATAGAATCATGACTGTGTATCCACAATGTGAGAACACTCAGGATTCAGTATCTCAGAGACACTTTGTGACACTTTCTCTCTCCAGATGGAAGACTGCAACTAGAATTACAAAGAACACTTCCAGAACGTGGGATTCACTGCATCCCAGCAGCTTCCCTCTGGGATGCTCATAGATTCAGCAGGTGAATTCTTTATGCACCTGAAACATCACTCTCAGGGTTGGGATTTCTCTTGCATCCAAACCTGACTCTTCCCCTTTAATAAAAACACTTACCACTCTTTACTCACCATCTCTGTGGGGCTTCACTCTGTTTATATCCTCTTCTCCTAACACTGAACTTCTCTCCAGTCCTGCAACCCCGATTACTGAGGCCTCAGCCAGCCCATTGCCCCAAGGTGACTCCTGGTCAGCTGCTGCCTGTTAGGATTTAATTACCACCTTGCCAAACAGGTCTCATCAAACCAGTATGGACTGACACAGAGGTATTCATGACACAGGAATTTTTATAGCAGTAACTCCATAGTAACTTCATTATCTGAAGTTAGGATTGAGTTCATTAAACTAACACACTGGCCACATTTCAATTAAGCTGTTAAGGTTGTTTCATTTTACAGACTGGATTTTTATTCACTATCATTTGATTATGATGGCATTTCTTCTTTTGAGTTTTTTGCATCTTAAAACTATGGATTGGTAATGTCAGGTAACTGCATTAAATTGTGTAAGAGCTCAGGACACAACAGTAACTAGATTAATTTTAGGAATTAATGTATACAGTTTCAAGTCAGTCACTTCAGTTTTAGTAAGAATGATTTCCCACATCTGGAAACTCCCTGAACACCCTTTTCATAGACACAGGAGCCATATCTTACTAATACTACAGGTGATTATCTAATACTAGAACATGTATGCTGAGCTGAGCTGAATTTCCTCCAAATAGGTCTGTTAGTTATAAAAATAAAAGGGATCCTGCTTTTCTTCAAATTATACATTACCTCCATCAAGTCTGTGAAATTTTGTAGTTTATTTATTAACCAATATTTCAGGTGAAATTCTGTATATATTTTAAGAAAAAGGATGGAAAGTTGCCACAATGGGAACTGGTTTATCTGTTGTGGAAAGTTGGGCACCTTTGTCAAGGTTTCTATTCGGAGCAAACCTATGACTTACTCTTTGACCTATCCTCTTCCAGGTAATAGATGTTTATTATGGATTTCATATAACATAATTACTATGATTCTGGACGGAAATGAGTAGATTATGTCTTCTTGCTAACAGATTTTGTTCTAATTTCAATGGTGGAGATGCAGAATACTGACATAAAGAGATGTACCATGAAAAATTACTGCTTATGTTTTAAATTTTTTTTTATTCTTTATTTTATTTTTACTTTTACTTTATTTTTAATAACAATTGGCAGGAGACAAACCCCTGGTCTGTTTGTTTAGCTTCAGGGGCTATGCAGTTTAGCTTTCACTCTGTTTTATCCTGGAAGTTATCCTATCAGCCTTGGTTACCAGTTATCTTAATCTGGGAGTAAAATCTACAGCATCCCAAGTCAAACTCTGTATTCCAGATGTTGATGTTTCACCTTGGCAAACTATCTATTTGTTTAGCCTACAGGCAGGCACACAGGGTTGAGGTAATAAGACCAATGAAATTTTCTTCAGGACAGCTGAGCTATTGTTTACAGATGTGCTCTGGGATTTTTTGATCTCAAACAGTCAAAATCCTTTCTTGTAGAAAGCGAAATGCAAGAATATTTAGTATGCTTCTGGTGCTCTTGCTCATTTCTTCCTTTCTTTTTGGAAATATAGACTGAAGAAAAAAAAACCCAAAGTAATGGTACGGTTTTGGATTCAGAATTAAAACAACTATGAGACAATATGTGCATGGTTTGTGCTTGTAATTTGTGGCTATTTAAAAAATAAAATTTCAACTTGAAAAGGCTGACAACTACATTATATTTAGTTAAAGCACCAGATGTACCTACTACTTAATTAAATGCTTAGACTGACATTCCTTAAAATGGAAAACACATGGTCTTCGTAATTCATATATATCCTGATCAGGTCCTCTTTCAGTGTTCAGTCAGGTCCTGATGGAACAGTGAATGAAAGAAAATTTCACCACCAGTGAAAGAGGCCAGGTTAACAGGAGTTCACTTTTAACAGTGTTTTACATGACTACCTATTATAAGAAGCCACATGCAGCAGCTCAGGATCCTGGGCATGTGATCCATGCAGATCCAGAGGTCTGTCAGCCCCGTGGTCCCTCTGAGATCATCATTGTGTCTGTCCTGCTGGACAGGAGGAGAATGAGTGTTGCAGCATGTGCCACAATGAATACCTGAATGTGTCCTGCACCTTCAGGGCTCGGAGCACACCACTGATAGAACTGACTGGCAACAACAAAGGAGCAAGGGACGGGTCCTTGTTTGGATATTTAAAAAGGTTTAACCTCCAAAAGGACGCAGGGACAAAGACAAAAATTATCTGAGGGCACAGAATTAAATACAGAGTGGCAGGGGTGGAGCTGAGGGTCAGGGTCCAATTGGAACAAGGGAAAATGGTGCAAAGGTGTGGCTAGGGATCAGGGAAACCAATGGGGTAATGGGGGTGGGGCAATGCAGCAAACTGGGGCCAATAGGAATCGGGGGAAGGGAGAGCATTCTGGGGATTAACCATAAATGACAAGCAGGGGAGCATTCTGGGGATTAACCATAAATGACAAGCAGGGGAGCATTCTGGGGATTAACCATAAATGACAAACAGGGGTGGAACAGGGATTACATCAATGGAACATCAAACCTTGAGAACTATTTACATGTGGCTGCAAAGGTCCATGGGAGGGAGGCCTTTTCTCACTCCATACTAAGGGGCATCTCTCCCTGTCTGCCTTTGCCCCTCCAGAGCCATGGCACGACCACCCTGGTGGCAAGCTCCTGGGCCTCCACAAATGAACCCAGTCACAGTTTCCCAGAGCAGCACCCTATGGAGATGCAGCTGTCAAATCCTTCTCATCCACTGGCTGCTTGGGTCTCTCTAAAGAAAGGAGTGGAAGTCTTTTCAAATTTCCAAATTTCCAGTGAAAAGGAAAAAAAGCAAGCATATTTACTATTAGAACAAAATTTCCTTGTATATACTTTCAGCTAGAGATAAGATAGCATATAAAATACTTAGTGTCTCCTCTGGCCTCACTTTGGCTTATTCATCTATATCAATTTAAAAAAGCTCCAAATTAAGATTTTCATCTTGTACTTCTATAGCAAACCTAAGTGGAACATCATCAGTTCTTATGTATGTGTGAAGTTATACACTGCTCAAACATGTTTGTCCGACAGTGCAAGAAAAGTATATCTTGATACAAAGCACAGCACTGCAACTGAACTCATTCACAGTACAGGTTAAAGATAAGCATTTCTTATCAACTGTGTCATTCTGAAAAACAGTTGATATTCTTTTTGACTGAGCTCAACAAGGCATTTCTGAATCAACTGCAGCAATGTTTCTGTGAGCAGTGTTGGCTGCAGTGGATGCACTGGTGATTATCAAAAGCCAAACCCTGAACCCTCATCACATCTTGGGGCTTCTCTTTGGGGCTGTAATATATGAAGATTCTCGGTGGTATTGTCCATATTCCTGGGTAAGAGAAACTGAATCATTGATTACACTCAGGAAAACAGAATTTCCTTGAGTATCTTGATTCACGTGAATTTGCTTGTATTTTCTTAGGAATTTTTCCTGGAAAGCTCAAGCATCCTAACTCTCTGCAAGGGCAGTTTTTCTGATGGATTTACTCCCAGAATAAGCTGTAGTTTTCAGATGGTTGGATGGAAAATTTTCTGTGAACCTGTTCTCTTCATGCTGAAGCATTTGGCCCATGAAGGCTTTTCAACAGATCATTTTTCAGGACCTCTCTTTTCTCTTAGAACTGAAATGAACTGTTTTTCATTTTAGCTGCCTTACCTTCTAGTTTCGGCCCTGTTACAGGTTTTCGCTGCAGACTTCACTGTGCTCTGTACCAAATGTAAACCAATATAAATTTCATTGAAGGAATTCAATGCCTCACAAGCCAATTTTATTAGACAGGAAATATTTGTCTATCGATATAATTATAGTTTCAAATTTCACAATGTTCTAGTACAAATATTTTGTTTGGAAAAATTTCCATTAATCTTGGAAACTATTGCAGTGATGTCTCCTCAATTAGGAAGAAGTTACAGGACCGTATTTCCTGGTTCATTCTGTTGAAATGCAACTGCTGCACACAATGCTCAGTCTGCTGATTTAGCAGCACTATGAATGTACTGCTCGTGATCTCTATAGATCCACAGAATTAAATTCAGTTTTAAATTTAATACCCTCAAATGCTAATTCAATTTATACACACTAAATGAGACAATGAAATTTTCAAGGCATTTCGTCCAACCCTGTACGCACAAAATCAATTTATTTTAATTGAAGGAGGTTCTTGACTCATCTGCTCCCAAAAGTGTTTATTTTTTTCTTTCTCATTACGCATCATGTTATTCAGAGCCATGAATGCTATTATTTCATTTCAAATAGTCAGATCTGAGTAGTTGTGAATGCACTTTGAAATATGAGGCTCAAATACCATAGATGTTAAAAATCACAGTGCCTGTTGCCATTTGCAAAAGATGTTCTTCAGGCAGAGAACAGCCCAGCTTTCATCTCCTCTGCAGAATCATTCTGCAGTGCAAATGCTGACAATAACTCATGCTAGCAAGAGCTTCCCTTCCAATATGCCTTTGTACTTGCTTCTAAGAATAATGAAAATGTAACAAAATCATAAAAATTAGTCAGATAAATGGAAATTAGACCCTTCAGACTCCCACTGCAGTCAATCTAACAAACTGACAAGCAAAATTAATTTTACTGTGTGACGCACAAATGTCCTTTGATGGCAAAATGCAGATACAAACAGTTTTCAAGAGATGCCTTAACGTGCTCAGTCTTTCCTATCAACCCTCAGAAGGCCACCCACAGCATCATGACTTTTCTTAACATTGGGAAGGCATAACACAGAGAATGTCTAATCTTGAATACCAATACAAATCACAGTCTCATAATCATAAGCGGTTTGTGCTCATATTTTATAATTTTCTACAAATATTTTTCTTTAGAAAACCTGTTAGGTGCCTGTTAGGGACTTTGCTGTTGATGAGCCTTGGAGGGGGAAAAACTTTAGTAC